GACTCTGTTGAAGTAGAAGTTGGCAAAGGAAGACTCTCACCAACCTTGTTCATTGAGTTTTCATCCAAAGCACTAAAAATATTTAAAAACTTAAAATACAATTTTCCATATTTCATGGAAAATAACAGATTATCAAATAAAGTTAAACTAATTAGTTTGGTAAAAAAATTGATAAAGGTTAAGTGTTATACAAAAACTTGGAAAATTATCTTACACTACTTTGAAGTTTTGAAAGAGATATGATACTGTTGATAGGAATCTCTCCCTAATAAGAAATATGACGTTGGGACAACGTTGTTCTAACGTCTTTCGTATCGTTAAAAAGACGTTGGCATGATGTTATATATGAAACACCGAAAAAACGTCATTTTGCTAACGTTATTACAACGATGTAAAATGGCGTTGTGACAACGTTACATTTTAGCTGAATGACGTCGGAAAGACGTTAGAACAACGTTAAATTTTAAGAAAAAAAGACGTTATAAGGACGTTAGGCAAACGTTATATTTTAGCTAAAATGACGTTGAGCCAATGTCTTTTCTATCGTTGTTTAAACGTTAGAATAAAGGCATATATGGAACATAGGTCAACGTTATATCAACGACGTTGGCCAAACGTTGTAAGAAAAACGCCCTAAAAACGTTTTTCTATCATTTTTGATGTTATTTCTACACTGCAAAAACAATAAAGCACAACTTTACACAGTATAACTTTGCGCTTTAAAGTTTTATTTTCTTCGTATTTATTAAGGTCAAACACGATCATTATATTAGTCCGGGCAAATAATTGAATACGGAAAATAAAAGACTAAAAATAAATAAACATTGATATACTTCTATTCCAAATTTTTAAAATTACATACAATAACTTAGAATAAAACTAATTTGATTTTTACTTTCTTTGCAAATTCCAACTAATAATTTGCATATTCTTTGTTTGACACTAAAAAACAAAAATTTATGAAGAAACAAAGCTACAAACAAATCTAATTACATAGAATATTACATAAAGTTACAAACAAATCCAATTACAAGCAAAGCATTTTTAAGAACTAAATAACAAATATTCGAAATGAAAAATTAGAAATACCAGAAATACCAGAAATAGTGCTAACGTTCTATTTAATGCTCACCTGAGTTTTTCTGCTTCCGAAAAAATATTGACTGTAAATCGTTTAACAACTATCTGAAATAGAAAAAACAATACCTCAATAAACTTAAAAACTAATGAAACTCAAAATATTTTTAATTGAATAAATAAACAAAATTACTTTAAAACACACAATCGTGACATAATTGAAAAAAAATATTTCTAGTTTTACCCTCAAAAGATATATCTTTGTGTTCCGACCCTTAAAGGATATATCTTTGAGTTCAGATTTCTGGAAAGTTGTTTTTTTACAAGTTTTTGGCAAAGACAATATATTTTCTTATAACATAAATTGCATGGTGTATAAGGAAACTGAAATGGTACATTTTCACTAAGCTAAGAATCAAAAATCGTATTTATAATAAACTCTCTTTAAAACTAGTGATTACTTTATTAGGTGTTTTTTTTCCAATCCGAACTAGTTATATTTCACTTGGACAACTGACCATTTGATCAAGTGGCATCTTCTTACCAAAAACTAATAATTTTTTAAATGAAAAGGCAGACATATCAAGAAGTGATCATTCAAAAAATTATGACAAATGAATAAGGTTATGTAAATTGTATGTAATGAATATTGGACCATAATAATCCACAACCTTAATAATCAAGTCATCCAAACCAGTAAATAGCAGTTTAATAGCATCAATGCATAACCAATGCAATGATTCTGTTAATTTAATTTGTACCTTTAGTGCATAGAAACCAGTATGAAAAATAAATTAACTATATAGTTTTTTAAAACTCCAGCAATGATCTAGACTTTTTGACAGAATTAAATTGTTTTTTATCCGACAAGTCATGAGACTTTTCAGAAATATGATTTATTTAAACATATGGCAAATCACATACCTTTGGCTCTGTTTTTTCAAAATACTAATAATTAACGGAAAACCCCAAAACAAACTAAATTATATAAACTAGATGATATATTATATAAACTAGATGTCTAACTTGGTGGATTTTATTGGACAAAAAATGATGTCACTTTTTTTGCTTATAAATATAGTTCGCCATTTGTAAAAAGTGTAAAAGCTGAAGCCGATGTGTGAAATAAAAGTTTAAAATGTGAGTCAAAAGTTACCAATAAATTAAAGATAATTCAAAAATATGTTATAATTATAAAATACTGATTTATTAAAATACTGATAAGGTTTATGAGCTAAGGTTGTTACAGCTACCTCTTATTATTATTATTATTATTATTATTATTGCTATTATTATTATTATTATTATTATTATTATTATTATTATTATTATTATTATTATTATTATTATTATTATTATTATATCATTTAAATTCATTTTAATAAAGTGATTGGAAATTTTTGCTGTTTTAAAAGCTGGGCAA